GCTTTTCTGCTCTTCCCAGGGTCGAAACAGCAGCTGGAAGGTGAGTTGCGGGCGGGTGGGAGGAGAGTCCTGGAAGCAGGGAAGCAACTGGGCTGAAGCGTCTCAGCTGCTGCTGCTGCAAGTTTCTTCCCTCCCCGAATTTAAGCCCACTGGGGCTGCACACTGTGAAACTGGTGGCTGCAGTTTTCCTTCCAGTGGGAAGATTAGAAAAGTCTCTTCCAAGTGAAGGTGGATTCTTTGGGAATGGCTTCCCTCCAGAGGTTGTGGGGGCTCCCATCACTGGAGGGTTTGTGACAGAGCTGGGAGGGACCTTGCAGGTCTTCTATTCCGACGCCCTGATCAAGCAGGAGACCCAACATCATTTCAGACAAATGGCTGTCCTGTCTCTGATTAAAAGCCACCAGTGATGGAGCCCCCACAACCTCTGAAGGGAAAACCTTCCACTGGTCTCACTGTTAATAAATTTATCCTTAGTTCTAGGCTGCTTCTCTCCTATATTAGTTTCCATCCATTGCTTCTTGTCTTGCCTTCTGGTGCTTTGGAAAATAAATTGACCCTCTCTTCTTTGTGGCAATCCCTCAAGTATTGGAACATGCTACCCTCTCATCCCTAGTCCTTCCTTTCACTAGACTAGACATACCCAATTCCTGCAACCCTTCTTTATATGGTTTATTCTCAAGCTACCTTAATGATCTTTGTTGATGTTCTCTGCACTCTTTCCAAAGTTTCAACATTATTATATTGTTGTGAGCAAAAATGGATGCAGTATTTCACATTTGGTCTTACCAAGGCATTATGAAGTGATACTAACACTTCAGATGGTCTTGATTCTACCCATTCTGTTAATACAGCCTAAGATTTCATTGGCTTTTTTTGACCACTGCAGCACATTGTTGGCTCACGTTGAAATTATTGTCCATTAGGACTCCATGTTCCCTCTCACAGGTACTGCCAGGTTCCACCTATTCTATACCTGTACATTTGTGCCATCTCAAATTTAATGAGTTCCCTTTCTATTCTGTCATCTAAATTGTTTATGAAGATATTGAAATCTACTGGGTGTAACACAAAACCTTGGGATGCTCCATTGCTTACTTCTCTCCGTAGAGATGTAGATCCATTAAAAATACACACTGAGTGCAGCTTGTGAGCCAATTATGAATTTATCAGTGAGGATGTATGTGCTTATGTTTTTCTAACATACCAAGAAGTAGGCTGTGGTTTACTTTTTCAATTGCCTTGCTGACATCCAAGTAGACCATGTTCACTGCATTTTGCTGGTCCACTAATTTAGTCACTTTGTGAAGGAATTAAATAAGATTTATTTGACATGGTCTGTTTTTGACAAACCCGTGTTGGTTTCTGGTTATAACTTTGCTTGCTTCTAGGAGTTCACAGATCTGTTGCTTGATTATCTTTTCCAGGGTCAGGTATTGATATCAGGCTGATTGGTCTGTAGTTTCCTGGATCTTTCCCTGCCCCCCCCCTCATTTTTAAAGATGGGAGCCACATTATCTCTGTTCCTGTCCTCTGGTACTTACCTGATGCTTTAGATCTTTGAAAGATATGATTCAATGGATCTAAGATCACAGGTGCCAGCTCCTTCAGAACGTTGGCATGTACAGTAATTCATTTGGTCAGGTCCTGGGGATTTGAACTCATCTAGAGCAGACAGGTGTTCTCTTACCATTTTCTTACCCATTTTAATTGGTATTCCTAGTCTGTCACTTACTGTTCTATTTTTGGTATGTTGCGCTATTTATTTATTTTTTTGGCATGAAAACAGATACAAAGAATGAATTACACAGCTTTGCTTTTGGACTAGAAGACCTCCAAGGACCCTTCAAACTGTGTTATTCTATTATTGATTTGCTGTTTTCATGTCAACAATATCAGACTGAATCTGCACTGGTTCTTTTCTGAGAGTTTTGTTGTTTTAATTATATGTCTGGCCAACAAGCATGATATCTCCTATTAGTGCCACATCCATCTATTAACACGGGTCAATTGTGCTTAATACAGCACTTATTAAAAAAACAGCTATTGAAGACCTCTTGGGATCTTCATTTGTATAGGTAGCCTTCACTTGCGACTTCTTCCCTGAGCATTCAAAGTTATGATAGCATTGTAAAAACAGGTGCATTTTCTACATATATACCTTCATAGGTGTAAGTATTTGTATTTCTCTCTATATACATATATCTACAATTGTATAATCTATCCCCAGCACTTCCAGAAATGTTTGGTTTCTTTCTTTGCACTGCTAATAATTTGTGATTTACCCACCTCAACAAGAGAATTTCAAGATTGAAAAGATATCTGAACATGGATCCTGATAGTTTTCCATGTGTCAGATGAATCATAATTAATGTAAGACGTTATTTTAACAATGTGGCATGTTTACTTTTTTATTGTAATGTATACTTTTTTTTCCACATCTTCTACAACCATTTTATACGCAATTAAAGTAACATTTTTCTTTGTATCTTATAGATAAAGAGAATGGCAATAAGAGCACTCCAGACAACTGAGAATAACAAGCAACGTTGAAAAGGAAAGCGAATGGATCCAGAAATCAAAATATTTTCCATTTCCTTCAGAAAACCCCACAATTCTCCTTCCCCGACAGCTGATAGACAAAAGAGAGAAAATCAAAAGAGATTCTGAGCTGGAAAAAGTAGGTTATGTAGAAGGATAAGGATACATTATGTGAAAGTCAAGGAAGATTATTTTTCATTCGGAAAAAGAGGGATATATCTGTAACTCAGTGGAGAGAGGAAAAGGTCAATTGGGAAACCATGTAGAGCAGACAGTGATGCAGGCCTCGTTCTGGGAGGAAGGAAACGGCTTGAATTAAAGGACCACTAAACAAGGAATCAGCCATATTTTTCACTCAAGAATATCAGTAGTAGAAAAGCTCCGTAGATGTCCCAGTTATGGAAAAAGTACAGATTGCAAATCATAGCTGATTATGCCTGAGAGGATCCACACTGGAGGAAAACCATACAAACACTCTGGCAAAAGCTTCTGTCAGAACAGCTCTCATGGTTCATGGAAGAACCTACACAAGGGAGAAAGTCCTATAAATGCTCCCAATGTAGTAAGCATGGCAACTTGGTAATATATTAGAGGACTCACACTAGGGAGAAACTGTATGACTATTGAGATTGTGGGAAAAATTTCATTAGAAATTCCTACATCATGAGAAACCTGAAAACTCA